CTAGTTTATTTGTTATCTGCCCTAATAGGTACAGTTAAAATAAAACAAATCAAATATAATTAATAATTTATTAATCAATTAGATACACATATCGTATTGCAATGATTAATACTACGAAAAAATCAGTTTTACGTTTCGTTCCACAAGCCGGTAAAAGACGGTATACACTACACATTTTAATAGGTCGTAATAAAAATGATTCTGTAATTTAAATATAAACTGTTAAATATATGTGCATGCATGAAAACTATTAAAATTAGCACAAAAATATTTACGTAAATTTATAGAAAATGAAATGTTACTGAACGTATGACAACTTAAGCGTACGTAAATCGGAACGTTCAATGGCGAGAATTCGATATAATCTGTGGTAGGGATTTACATAAATATTGCAAAAATAATTGATTTTCAATATTTTTTTCTGAATGTTTGAACTTTGCGTGTGTGCTTATAATATAGTATTGTATCCTTTCTTTTAAAAATCATCAACCCTCAACTCGACGGACGTCAATGGAAATCTGAGACAGGATTTATCTTAAGCAACACTTGGCGAATCGGTGATCACGGTACTAAACGTCTCGCACTTTTCTGGTCCTTCCAGTTGCTGGTCTCGATACTATATCTGATTTAAATGAGATGGTTATACCGCCATCTATCGGTAGCTACATCTTTCTCGCATTTCTCATAGTCGTATCTTATCGTTGTATCTTTTGGTACCCACCACGGTATAAATTTCGTGATGGATTCTTATGCCACTATTATTAGTCGCATTTCAATATGTACTTGATATATTTTAAGTACTTTACCTTACTTTATATTACAGAACTTGAGGATAAAAACTCAAAAACTACAACCTAGTTTGCATAGATGGCTCTGTGATACGACAGCTCTTTGTCAGTCAATCGAATAATGAAAGGTCAAAAAGTTCAGTGAACTTAGCGCCACTTGGATTTTTTTTCATATTTGAGTTTTTATTGTATTTTTTTTCTTGTTCGTCGTTTGTGTTTGTCCGAGCATAAAAATTGTTTGTTCGTCTTATTTCGTTTCGAATTAAACAAATTTTGTTCTTAGCCCCTTATTGTAAAGGAGACGGGCGAAAGTTCATAGAAAGCTGGGCTTGATGTTACAGTAACAATTACTGCATTATTTTATTTATATACCAATACCATTCTAAAAAAACTAAAATGCTTACGACTACTTCATGGTAGAAAAAAATATAGGACGTTATTGGTTTGTATCGAAACAATGTTATTGCTTCATTGACTTATATATTACTAGCGTATTGCTAATATTACCGTGGCATTGCTTACGTTATGCTTACAATGTTATTCTTACATAAAAATAATTATTAGATTTTATTGTATACTAGAATTTACCATAATTTTAAGTATTGTAGGACATTCACACATAGAGGATTCAGACGCTGCCGTCCAACTAATTTCTAGAGGTTTGAAATAATTATAAAAAATGAACAGAGGAAATATGAATTAAAAACATTTTCTCTTTTAATGATTTATTAATAGTCCACTTCATCATAAACAAATAAAATATCGTGTAAAAACGGTGCGTGCGGTATTAAATTCTCTTGATGCCTTGCCCAGCTTAGGTACCATATAATAATGGACATTAACATGGCAACTGCAACCTACAGTTCTTTTTCCTACCACGCAATTAAAATAATTCTGTTTGATTGCCTCTCTACCATTAAGATAACTGTCAATTAAAATATATGTAAAATATGTTTTTGAGCTGTCTGATTTTGAATGTCTCAATTTCATTCATTGAGCTATTATGTACTACGTACTAGAGGCGACACTGCATATAGCTACTGTGTTCCACTCAATTGCGATGCATACACCGCACTTTAATCAGTCACTCGCTAGGCGCTTATAGAGTTGACACGTGTTGTGTTGATTTAAAAAAAATCTCTTGATAATAATATGCCGTCGTGTGTACTTAGATATTTCACAAATAATTCAAGAAACGTCAGTAAAAACCAAGGAATTACTTTTCATCGGTTAATAAGATACATAATCAATAAAAACGTATTATGTACTAATAATAAAACAAATTATTTCTAAGACGCCATCTCGTGTCATGGAATATAGATTATGAAATTTGTATGTTCAGATGTGACATTTCTGTGGGTACTAGGACGAATATATTATTATACACATTTTTTTTTTGTAGAAACGTATATAAGATATTATAATTTGGCAAAAATTTTCATGTTTAAATCTGCTTATTCTTTTATTTCATTTTTAGGTTTCCACATCAAAGTCAAAGTGGTATAAATTCGTCCATTTTTAGCTCTCGCGAGCCCAGCATTTATGAACAACTTTTATTCTAATTTAAATAAATATATTTGTAATTTAAATGTTATGTTAATAAGTTTTGTTAGACATACATTTAGTATGTTTTTTTATATTTGACTTAGATACCTTTTAAAATATTCAGATAAAAATATCATTAAAATGTAATTGTGATATAATATTATGTAATATTATATTAAATAAGCAAATATAATATACAAAATAAATGACAAAATTTTAATAATGTTCTCGATATAATTTACCTATTTAACAATACAATCTACTATTACCTACGGGTCATTCTACCTATGTTTATTCTATGATAAAAAAAACCAACCATGCGAACACAGAGTAGCGCACATTTTTTGTTTGAGATAGCTGTTCTAGTATGTAAGTACATATTACTTCAATGATTTCATTCGATCTCTTAATAGCCAGCTAAAATGATTGGATATTGACAGTTCTCTTAGTAGGTTGCTGTCCGTTTCTCGACACACTTCTATTTCATATCTCCCATCTTGTCGTATGTGTTCTCCATAATGGGACCTAGCCTACTTAATTTGATAAATACCTCAAGATATTTTTATTAAATCACTATGTGTGAGCTGGGGAAAATCATTCAAGTTATCATTTTGCACATGTATTATTCAAGAAAATAAACCTTTATATCCTTCCTTAATACGTAGCCAAAGTCATTAAGGATCAGAATATTATTACAGCACACAAAAACAACAGAAAATATTCAATACCACTGCAAGCTCAGAACCAAACAAACGTAACAAATGATTTGATTGACGTTTGAGTTTTTGAACTAACGTTGACATTTCCGCTTTGTGGCCTGTATAAAACATTGATAATCGATTGTGAAATCGATTTATTAATCTATTTAGTCAATTTACTTTTACGACTTTTTTGAAACGTTGAAGTGTCTCACGAGGAAACTATTATTTAAATAATAAGTTTCTTAAACTTACCTAAAGAAAAAAACACTGAATCACTTTTTATTGTCTTTTTTTCTATTTTTGTATTAAAATCGATTAACTAACCTATTTCATCTCATCGTCAGTATTATTTTTGTTAAATATTTAATTTCTTTTGCCATGATAAAAAAACTGCTTAATATTTCAATATTAACTACAAAAAAAAAAAAACTGTAAAAAAATATTGATAAATATTTAACTTGTGTAACGTTAGGCCCAAATTCGCCCGTCTCCTTTTAAATTTTATCTCTTAAATTAATTAATTTTTACTAAATATCCTTTGTTCGATCGCTATTGATGATTGTTCGATCATAAATACAACGTAATAGTTAATACTCAATATTTTTAATTAAAAAACTAATAAAAGTAAACATCTAATAAAAAAAACTAATATAAAGGAAAATATCCTTTATAGAAGAATTTTAACCTTATTATAGAATAAAGGGACAAACGAGCACACAGTCCACCTGGCGGTAAGTGGATGCTGTGGCCCATAGACTTCTACATTTCTTCTCGATTAAGAATCAAAACGAAGATGCGTTGTCATTCCTGAGGACTAAGAAAGAATGCCTCGTTTCCAGTAAAAAAGGATCTTCGGATCTCTACACTCACCATACGAAACACAGCAGTATTAAGCTGCTACTTTACGCTGGTATTCTGCGAGAGCGTGGTCGTTCCCCGGTCGAGCCGACCTATTCGTGATACAAACAATATAGCTGCAGCGTGGCTCTACCACGTATAAAACCGTCTGGGGAAAAAAAGGTGTAACACGTGAATGGAGTAAAAGCCTATGGCACTGATATTTTAATTTTTTTTATATTAACATAATTGATTGACATGAATTGATCTATCAATAAATATTACTAATTTGAAAGAAGCTTGCGGTACTAAAAAAATATCAACAATTTTTTTTTAACTGAATAAAAGCGGTCTAGGTCTAGCGAAAGGTCCACATGACTAACTTCCCAGTGGAAAGAATAAAAAAATATTATATGTTTTAATATTTTATACAAATTTCATTTGGCACAAAAAACGACTTGACCGATTGTTCTCAAAATTTAATGAGTTCTAAGTTACATAATTATGCGTTAAATGAAACTGGTCCCATGTCAATATCACTCTTTGTTCTCAAGATACACGAGGCGAAAATTGAATCCGAACGTAAATACATACAAACGTACATACATACATACATACAGACATACGTACATGTACGTACACGGACATCCTCTTAAATTCTCATCATCATCATAAAACAGCATCTCGGACGTCAAATCATCAATCTTGACGCTCAAATTGTCTAGCTACGGGATGCTATGAGGTGGGGTGATTAAGGGCACCAAACAGCTACATCATACGATGTAAAAACATTAAATTAAAGTTATTGTCATAATTAATATCGCTACATGTTGTAAATAAAAAAGATAAACAATTATCTGCCGCGTTGTTTGTATCATTTCCTGCACATCACACTCGAGTACAACGCCAACTTAACTGCGAATTAGTATGAGATTTATATATATTAATTCGCAATAATGCGACTTGCTACAGTTTGTATCGTCTATATAATCGAATAAGACGCTTCGCGGCCTAAACTTTCTGAATGTTTTGTTAAAGACGTTTAATAAGTAAATATATTTTTATTTTTAAATAACGATATTAATGTAGGCGGGTAGGTCTGAGAATATAGTTTTGAATATAATATAAAATGCAGGTCGTTAAGAGTTTGTTGTGTTTTGTTTACGGATTTGTTGTTTTGAATGTAAGTGTGTGCACAGGACGCTCTTGGGTTACGACAGATGAGTGTAAGTATTATTTTTTAAAATTTTGTGGAACGCCAAATATCAACAACGTTTTACGTTTATTAAAAATATGACATCATTTTTACGGTATGCATAAATTGTTATATTCAAACATTTTATTGCGTTCACGTGATTACATACCTATATAGATCTTATGTGAGAATAAGTTAGAAAAATTAATAACATATTTTATTTACTAAAACAAAACATTACATTTAGGTTCAATAAACACTTGCAACATTTGTCAATACAATGATTACAGATTTAACTAGGTATTTGTAACTTTGTGATATATTTTATAATAATTTTTAGAATACTTAAGTATGTATTGTAGTATTATATGGTTTTTATCGGCATGGCAAATGTTACCTTACAGGTAGTAACGATTCCTTACTTTCACGTTATGTAGTCGCGAGGTAGGTAGGTAGGTAACTGTTGTTATTATTTAGCGACAGTATTTGCGAACAAATTTATATATTTCAGATATAAATACAAGGTAGGCTGAGTAGGTATATAGGTACTTAGTGTTTTCGAATATAGGGTTTGCATTTTAAAATTCAGAATATCGTCGGGGAGGATTCTGAATCGGAATAAACGAATAAGTTTTCAAATAAAGTAAACAAATCTTTTTCTCTTTAGAATACCCCAACTCAGCCATGCGTATGCAAACGCATAGTAAGTCGATAGTGTTGTATGTAGGTACTTATATTTGTTTTCTTTTTGGTTTCACGAAGCGCACCAGTAAAAATGACTTGAAAATTAGGTTTTTACGTGTGCTTTCTGATTTTGGCGTCAGTTATTGTTAAATCGACGAGTGTAAACTTATTGACAATTTTTAACTTTCATCATTATCATTATCACCCTTCCCAAGTCCCGTGCTGAACATTAATTCACACAAGATGAATCCAAGGACTGCGAGGAAACACGGCTTTGAGCCACCATCCATCGAATTTCTGCATGCTTTACCAGGTCTCTTTCATCACTCTTTTATTAGTTTCGATTAAAATTAATTTGCAGTGGGAATTTTTTTATGTCGATGGATTAATTTGATTGTTTTAAGTAGGTTATTACCCCTAAGGTAACCCTCTCAGAAATTAGGATAGGCCTGTGCCCAGCAGTGGGACGTATATAGACTGTAACTTTAAGTAGGTTATTTGTTTTAGTAGGGGACACAATTTGCAGTATCTTATGTTTAATTTTAATTCAACTTTTATATAAAAGTAAGTCGAGTAAGAAAGGTTTTCGAGAGGCAGCCTCGTACCGATAGGCGTAGTGTAAGGCGACCCCCACTAGATGGAGTGACGACCTGGTAAGACATGCAGGAAGTCGATGGATGCAGGTGGCATTACTTGGGGGAGCTCTATGTTCAGCAGTGGATTTGTGAAGGGCTGTAATGATGATGATGATGATGATAAATGTAAGTAAATGTGTTGGGTGCATAGCGGTAGTGATAGTGCGCACAATTGTGTTGGGGAAGTAAGAAAGGTGTCATTAAGACTAGGTCCCTAATATGCATTGTGTATTTTATTTTTCACTGGAATCTTAGCTCAATTTTCATTTATCAATGGGTGACCATCGTCGTCATTTTCATGCTTCGGAGAGTTAGTATTGTTAATTACGTTCTCTTATTAGAAGCAAAAGTAATAAGCGCGGATTTACTGCCTTTGGACATGCTCTTTCAGTCAACGGACTGTCGAGTATTAAATGCTGAATAAACGTGAATTTGAGTCACCACAATATGTATAGAAAACTTACGTGTTCGTAAACATTTTTAGTTGTTGAGGAATTCCATCTAAACGATCGATGCTTATAAGGCATGTGTGAGAACTTTTAGTACCTATAACTGTATATTATTACCTTTTTTCTATATTAACTTCTATCGGGTCACATTCTTTTTATAGAACAAGAGAGACAAAAGAACGGTCAAGAGGTTCATATACATCTATCATAAATTAGGAATTCAAATGTGGGTATGTGTTGTCATACAAAATATGCGAGAGAAATGAGTTAGATTGGAACATGTGCCACTAAATAATACCTGCGTGTCCGACTCACGCCGTATTCAGATTTCACTGGTTGTAGGGAGGGAAATTACTTCAATATGAAGGTATCAACTTTGCGTTCACTGAACCCACTCAGAGTATTTACACTACTTTCAGGAATAGTTGCTATGTCAATATCCAGACATGGTTTGTTGAAGGTAGCTTCAAATCCATAATAATAGTAAGACGTTTATACACTGTTAGGTGATTATAAAATAATTATTATCGTTATTAATTTATTAAGAATAAAATCTATTCAGGTCACCAATCCTAATTACCAGCTCACTGTAATCACTGAAACAATTATGTAGTTCAGTAGGACAGCTTTCGCGTGATGAAAGTCACATCGCTACTTGTCGCATGCGAGAGCATGTTCGCGATCAACTGTTTAGAAATGCTGTGTTAGATAAGGTTGAGACGTCAGGCCTTAGACTACTTACTACTGGATGAAACTACAGTGTTACCACAGTCTAACTACTACTTACAGTCCGTTATTGAAGGCGTCTTGAGTCGGTGTGGGGTGAGAGTTATAAATAAATTAAAATGGTTCACACTACATGTGCGGTAAAAATCTGTGAGTTGTCCCCATTTAAAGATAAGGAATTAAAGTTTCATCTGTTTTCACACACACAGGTATTCCTTTAAACGTGAAATTAAATAATATAATTGCTTAATTTTTTTTGTTTATTTTCCGTACAAGATTATGGGTGCAAAGTGAGTGCGAGGAATACTTATTGATAAAGCGGTAGAAAATCCGTTATTCCGTTGTTTTTCTGTGTGGGTACCATAAAAAGTGACTATGGGAAACGCCAAAAAGATCTTATGGCTTCCAACAGATGGCAGTATAACCATCTTGTTATGCTATGCTCAGATCAACAAGCCAACAACAGCAGCGTCAACGGTGGTGAGAGGTTTGCCTGGCAAGTGTGGCAATTACGACAAAATGTCCGTATAATGGAGAGGATCATGTCCAGCCGTGGTCTTTTATAGGATAATGAAGAATAAGATGAATGATTTTAAATTGGATTAGTTGACTTTTGATTTTGAAACTATCTGTAGTTAAATGGAATACAGTTGACCCGTGGTAATCCAATAAACGCTTTTTTCAAAGCGGTGTCTGAATATTACATTTGTCAGACTATAGAGTACTGCCACAACCCCCTGGTAATGCGAAACTTTTTGAAAATGCGTACCTTGTAATCCGACAAATTACATATCAAGTTTAACATAATAAAAAATAAGAATGTCGTGTATTGCACAATGAATACCTAAAAAGTAAATGATGAATGCCCGCTAGGCGGTTACCATAGTCACATTTAAACTGAAACAATATGTGTCAAGAAATATACGTGGTGATCATTATCATCATCATTACAGCCCTTCACACGTCCACTGCTGAACATAGGCATCCCTCAAGTAATGCCACAAAGCACGGTCTTGAGTCACTTGTATCCATCGACCTCCTGCATATCTTACCAGGTCGTCACTCCATCTAGTGGGGGTTCGCCCTACACTACGCCTACCGGTACGAGGCTGCCACTCGAGAAACTTTCTTCCCCATCGGTTATCGGTTCTTCGAGCTATATGGCCGGCCCATTGCCACTTCAGCTTACTAATCCGTTGTGCTATGTCGGTCACTCTGTATCTTCATTTCTGAATCACGCAGAGAAACTCCGAGCATAGCCATATCCTCCATTGCTCGCTGAGCGACCTTGAGCGTCCTCATACGGCCAGCAGTGAAGAACCACGTCTCAGATCCGTAAGTCATCGCTGGCAACACGCACTGGTTGTACAATCTCGTGTAAATATTCGTGGTGCGAAGAACTAATTGCAACTTGTTTGTCCACGTAGTGAAGAACAGCTCCCCCCGTGATGGTTTGATAACGTCACTCAATTATACATATAGGTAGGTTAAAGGCATGTCGGATTACAAAGGGAGGCGGTTTAGCCAGGGGCCGGATTATCGGAATTCCACTATATGTCTATATTCCCCAAACATACGCGCAAACGCAAAAGTTTACTATGTGCCTTTGTGTTTGCGCGTGTGCTTGGAGAATACATTTTCCTCTACATTTGACAATATTTAATAGCATTCTCATACAGCATTCAGTATTCGAACATCAAAATATCTTTAAAAAAATTGATTCGTTTACATAACATTGCGTGTGTTGGCGGTCTAAGAGAGTTTATCACTCTATTTTATCCCGTGGTTGTTGTTAGAGACTACTATGAGATATGTCAGAATAATCATATGCCTTCCAAAAGATTTTAAGATATTCCCTATAGAGGATCTCATAGGGAATATCTGGGTACCGCTATTTCCACAGATTCTCGGACCGGCTATGATCCAATGGGTCGAAAGTGCTGTGATCGTCCATCAGCCTGTTAAGCGAGGCAATTAAGGCAAATCCTCGCTACAACTGGACCGAAATAATATTATGTTTGTTCGAAATTTAAGGGCTGGTATAGGTGACGGCAACACCCTTGTTTTATACCTAAATAATATCTAATATCTATATTTATCTTGCTTTTAACTCCCGACGATTCCTCGTTGGTCTAGTGGTTGTAGTAGTGCGACTGCTGATCATGAGGTCCTGGGTTCGAATCCCGGGTCGGGTCAAAAATTAATTATTGAGTTTTTCCGTCAAGAAATTCTCAGTAGCCTGGAGTCAGGAAGTTGGCGGTGTCTCACCCCCGTATCTCGGAAAGCACGTAAAGCAGTTGGTCCTGCGCCTTATCTCTCTCCGGTCGTGTCGGTTTACCGTCCCATCGGATTATGAGAGTGAGGGAATAGAGAGTGCACCTGTGCTTGCGCATACACTTGGGTACTATAATCCTGTCCTGCGCCGATGGCTAGCCTCCGTTGAGGCAGGCCACCGTGGCCGAAATTCGGTCTGGAGGACCTTATTATTATTATTAACTCCCGACGAAAACTGAGGGTTATAAGTTTGTAGCGTGTCTGCCTGTGCTATCATAGCCCCTGAACGTATGAACCAATTTTAATTAATTTTTTTGCTTGAAAGGTGTCTTAATCGAGTGTTCTTAGCTATGTTCAAGAAAGGTGTTTTTTTGTTTCGGGGTTTTTAAAATTTTCAATTTAAGTTGTTATTATTACTTAACTCAACTCACAAGGATGACTATTTTACAAAATAGAATCGCCAGTTTCTTCCAGTATTATACATTCCAAGTTTGATTGATCACTATGGTAACGAAAAACACAAGAAACTTATTTTCAGCAAGTTTAGCGTTTCCTTCATAATTTCTACGGCTACCTACAGATTAATATTTTTCTCTTTTCAAATTCATGCATGTAATCATCGAAGGGATAGGCAGTCTTAAAAGCAAGAGGAGCGAGTTAGTCGGACCACGTTAACCAAAAATTATGTGTATAGATGGAAAATTGTGAATGTAGTGATGAATGGCTAGCTCATCGTTTACAATTGCCTTCTTAAATGTGAGATAAACACAAACAGATTTAAATATATACATACTACTACTTAAATGTCTTTGGATATTCTCATGAACTTGGTGGTTATGCTATCGCTTTCGTCGACTTTTAATTTAGAGGAAGCCTAAGATTTTTTGGCAGAGAATATATCAATGATAATAAAGATTAATAAAGAATAAGTAATATAGCCATGCTGGAGCTATACCTATAGGTTTTTGGGAAGATCTTAGTTATTGCCTTCAAAAGAAAAGGCGATCAATAACTAAATATTTATATATGTTTTATGATGTTATCTTTGTTTTTGTGTTTCTTGAACTTCAATATACGTAAAATATTTTTCGGATGATAATTAATGATATGCTTGAAAATTATGTTTTTGAGTAATCAGTAATCAGTAATCACACATTACATTAATAAAAATTAAATTAAAAATAATAACATAATCACTGTTACTATTACCAATTCATTGAACAAAAAAATGGGTTTTATTGTTAAAAACGTTAGAATTCAAATAATTCAATTAAAAACGAGCAAACTTCAAAAACAGAAAAAGAAAGTTTGACTTAATATGTTCTAAAGGGCTTAAGGTATCATCCCCTTCAGGTTTTGCAATCTTTTAAACAACCTGTATAATAAGTCGGTTCAACCGGGGAAGGACCACGCACGGAATGCCAGCTTAATAAAAAAAGCAGTTTAATGCTGTTATGTTTACTGTAAACGAGGCAGACCATCTTAGTCCTGAGGTGTGATAACGCATCTGCAATTTTATTTTTATCGAGCATACATGTAGATGTCTATGGGCCACAGCATCCACTTACCATCGGGTGAACTGCGTGCTTGGTTGTCACCCTTAATCCAAAAAAATAATATCTCCGAGTTAAGTCTAAGTCTGAAGTGAAAATTCATAAAATGGGATATCAATGTTAGTTACAACTGTGTGAATGATAAGCTACCTGTCTTTTCTAAATGACATTTTACAGTTAAGTTCGATAAATGTGCACCAAAGAAGTTATTAAGCGTTACTAAGCGCGAAAAACTATTACCATGGTTCGCAAGTAATGTTAAATACAAAATGTAGCTTCAGATCGGTTAATAACACGATAAATATTTTAATATAAGATCCTAAAAGGGCTAAACAACAGCCTGTATTACCTGTATGTTGAGGACAAAGTGTATTTTAACTACCATATCATTCAACATTTACATAATACAATTGCTCTGTTGAAAAATAGTAGGTACCGTGTTAGTCACAATTTATGTTACTGTTATTTAAAAGTAGGTACTCAAATGAACTAAGTAAATTGTGACTAACAATATATATATATATATATATATATATATATATATATAATATGTACTCAGAACAACAAAGCAAGACAGATAGAACACTACCTGATATCATATACGTGAGAGCATGCTGCAGTTATATGAGTAGTATAGTTGTAGCACGAATGGGTCGGCTCGACCGGGGAGAGGACCACGCTCTCACAAAATACCAGCGTCAAATAGTAGTTTTATATTGCTGTGTTTCGTATGGCAAGTGTAGAGAACCGGAGACCCTTTTTACTGGAAACGAGGCATTCCATCTCAGTCCTCACTGACAACGCATCTGCATTTTGATTTGTAATCGAGGTGAGTAGATGTCTATGGGCCAGCAGCCACTTACCATCAGGTGGACTGTGTGCTCGTTTGTCACCCTATCCTATAAAAAATACTACCTACATTTCAAGTGACATCGAAATCAAGCCGAAATCATGCTGAAGTAATGTTGAGATCACGCATTCACGCAAAAATACGCGTTCTGGTTTTATTTTAAATATATTTTTTTGTGCACTATGCAGTGTGCACATTAATTCCGCACAAATGTTTGCAATTGTGTACAACGCTGTTATTCTGCCAGCGCCAAACATGTAAGCACACGCGAACTTTGGCATTTTTTTTTGTGGCACATTACATTTTATTTCATATAAGACAAAAAGCGTTGATTTTCAAAATTAAAATCCATTTCTATTACAGTAGAAAACCACATCAGTCCCGAAGATCTCAATGAATTTTTAAAATGGCGATTTTTAAATGAAAATGACGATTCAACTACAACTTCGTTTCCTGATTTGGATTACGGTTCGCTTGAGGTACGATTTTAAAAATTTTAAACTACATTACGTACATTCACTTTCGGATATGTCAATATTTTAGTTTCATTTGACGTATTTTAAAAAAGAAAAAAAAATGGCTGCAAGTAGCTCCAGACCGTGTTTTTTGGCATTCCTCGAGGTAGTCAATTTTCAGCAATGGACTTGTAAAGGGATGATGATGACTGATTTAAAGCTGTGTGTTTTCCTAATTAAGCATAAATGTTTGATATATTTTTTATTACTTTTCACTGTCAGAAGTACTTATATTGCACCAAATGCTTTGTGATACTCCCTAGATAAAGCAATAATTCTTACGTTTCATGGTAGGCACTTATAATGATAATTTATGTTCATTTTTTAAAACACTTAGGAATAAATTTGATAAATGTTAGTACTATAAATTTCATTCACAATCACGAACACGATTCATTGAATCGTGTTTATCAAAAACACCATTCTGCTAGTGCGGTTGACGAGGAATTAAAAAAGTATTTTATTTGTTTCTTGCTTAGAATAATATAACTGGGCTCCCTGTACCCGATATCGTGGATTGTTTCGGCTTGGGCTCTTTCGCTCAGCATCTCTTCAATATGCAACCGGACTCTGTCGATAAAGTCAATACTCATTTCTACTTTTCTTCACGGCAGTACCCGGAAAGGGTTCAGGTAATAATTCCACAATTCTCATTTTATTTTTAAGGATACATAAATTATAATGAATGATGATGAATGATTAGCTGTGCGGTGGTTTTGGAAAATTCTAGAGGACGCTGCCTTCTACAAATGGCGATGTCACCGTCTCGTTTCCGCCAGATTTAAAATACCTTAAAAGGTGATGGTTAACATAGTCGAATGTATATATATTAGGCGATTACGGCAAATTATGGCAAGTGGGAGTTCTGCAGTAGACTCTTACGAGCTGATAGATTGAGAAGGGCGAACTTTCACTCGTTTCGTTTATTCTTCTTATGTTCTCAATTTTTAAGCCACATAGAACATAACGTGGTGAATGGGGATCATATCCATATACAGTACGTTTAATACGTATTTAACAATTTAAAAAAAAAACTGATTTACGGTATTATTTTATTAAGTCGATAATTTTAGGTTTTCCCTGGAGATCAATTTGGCTTGGAATGGGTGGACTTCCGACCAGACCGACAAACAGTGATGATTGTACATGGATTCATGAGCCACAGCAATGCTTCGTGGGTTACCGATATGACTCGAGCGTTTTTAGAATGGGTAAGTCAGTATACAAAGGCATTTCAAGTGCTTGATGTTCTTTTCAATTTTCATAGTACGTTAGCATCGAGCGAGTTCCCCGAGCAAACATAAGTTTGAATTCCGGCGGCACATTTGATATTGTAAATGTTGATTTTTCTCTGTGCTGAATGGTAAATGTAACAGCGTGGCGGGTTCTTCCTTTCCCCAGTATTCTTACTGAACTGAGAATAGGGCTCAACAGTGGTATAGAGTTTAGGCTGTTACTTTACCTTACTTTTAAAAGGGCATAATATAATAAGTAAAATAAGCAGAATTTTACGTGGTGGAGCCATGCTGCAGCTATATTGTGGTTGCAGCACGAATGGGTCGGCTCGACCGGGGCAGGACCACGCTCTCACAGAATACCAGCGTAAAATAGCAGCATAATGGTGTTTCGTATAGTGAGTGTAGAGAACCGGAGACCCTTTTCACTAGAAACGAGATATTCCATCTCAGTCCTCAGGGCTGGCAACGCATCTTTTTTACGCTGGTATTTTGAGAGAGTTTGGTGCTATTCCGGTCGAGCCGACCCATTCGTGCTATAACCATAATATAGCTGCAGCGTGGGTCTACCATGTAAACTGTAGGTATATGTAGAGATTATCTTTGAGTGAGACGTTTTGACGTGGTGATAGTATTTCATAGACATCTTTGAACTTGTCACTTCGCAGGGTCACAGGCTAGGGTTACCCTTTTTTTTTGAAAAAAAAAAAAGACAAAAGGTAAAAAAGGTTAAAAAGGTCACCAGTATATAAAACACAAAAAATGTTTCTACCATGTCCACATTTTGATGAAATGTTGTGCGTGGATTTGAATGGATCCCTAGATGGTTTATATTCACATTTGGACCAGGTAGGTGGCGCTGTTGTCGAGATCCAGAAATCAAACGTGTGAATCAGGGGCGGATCGCGTGTAAGAGCATATTGCTGCTGTGTTTCTTTTTACGATTTTTTATAGAATTGGGTGAAAAACGAGCACACAGTCCACATGATGGTAAGTGAATGCTGTTGCCCACAGACATTCTCATTTATCCTCAATTAAGAATCAAAATGCAAAAAAATGACAATAACAAGAAATGCAAATGCGTTGTCACCCCTGAGGACTAAGATGGAATACCTCGATTTCAGTAAAAAGGGGTCTCCGGTTTTCCACAGCACCATACGAAACACATTACGCTGCTATTTTACGCTGGTATTCTATGAGAGCGTGGTCCTGCACCGCTCGAGCCGACCGATTCGTGCTACGACTACAATATAGCTGCAACATGGCTCTACCACGTAAATCTGTATTTTACTCTTATGCGAGCATAGATATAGTTACATATAGACTACTGAATCCAGTTACCATTAAGGTGCCCGTACTTCACCTTACAAGCGATAAAATTAAAAAAGTGTACAACCGACTTAAAAATAAATAAAATGATAACATGATCCATATAGTCGAAGTCAATTAAATACGCATTATTGAGGACAATTCAAAAACTATTGGTTAGATCTTGATCAAATTTATATGGACCACATAAGAAGCACCAGCTTTTAAATTTAAAAATATCATCAAAAAATACAGACGAATTGAGAACCTGCTCCTTTTTGAGGACGGTTGGAAACTAAGGGAAACCTATTCAATCAACACTTTATAATTTTTATCTTAATCTTACGTCGTTGACGTTCATAAAGATGTGGACTATTTTATTCTACAGGATGACGTGAATGTAATCGCTGTTGATTGGAGCAAAGGTGGAAATACTTGGAAGTACTGGAGAGCTGTAGCCAACACCAGAAGGGTGGGGTCCGATGTAACAGGGTGAGTAAATTTTTGAAATAAAATAGCTTGATGATGGCAGCATGGACCAGTGGTCAGAGTAGTGACAGCAGTGAGAGTAGTGTCCTCCAGACCACGGCGTTTATTCTCAAACGTCTGCGCAGGACAGGGTTATAGTGCACGAGTATGGATGCAAGCTAAGTTGCGCTCTCTCTATATTCCCCCACTGTCATAGTCTGATGTGATGGCAATCCGACGTGACCGAAGAGAGATCAGGCGCAGGATCAACGGCTTTACGTGCTTTTAGAGGCTGGAGGGTGAAACGTAACCAACTTACTGAATCCGGATTGCTACTGAGTATTTCTTGTCAGAAAAATGTAATAACTGATTTTGGCCCAACTCAAGATTCAAACCCGGAACAACACCTGGTCATATATTTGTGTAAAATACATGTACTATTGAAGTACCTTTAGTATGAGCAAATGAAAATTATGTAAATTTTTCAGAAGACAATTTTGAACTAATTTATAAATTTCAGAATATAACCAAGTAAAAATAAATGTGGGCTTTATTGTTGGGTTGTGTAGATTGGATCTGGTGGTGGTGTGAGATAACCCATTATCTCATTTGACTCGGTGGTTATCGTAAAAGGAGACTACTGAATATATTAGAAAAATCTCATTACTTTCGATACGCGGTATAACCATCTCGTTATCGCCAGAAAGGTGCAAGACGTAAGGTAACGGTGATCGCCAGTCGCCCCGACTAGCATGTGATGGTAAACACTGCCTTTTTTAATAATATTTATATTATTGCATACCTATGACATTTTTACTCATTTTTGTTAAATAAATAAACTACGGATTTTCCATACTGTAGTAGTGGTTTTTATGTATGAATTGTACATGAAATCCAAGACAATCATTTATAGGCCATACCAATGGTTTTGTCATATCCGGGTATCGAACTCATGACCTGTAGCGTCATACGTACTGCCAAGCTGTCAAAAGTAGCTTAAGCTTTTTCTTACTTGTGTAAAATTGTCATGTTACAAAGGTTTCTGCGTCAACTGATAGCTGTGACCGGAGCGAAGGTCAAAGACTTTCACTTCATCGGACACAGTCTCGGCGCTCACATTTCCTCATACGTTTCGTACCATTTGGGAGGCGTCTCGAGGATCACTGGTGAGTAATAGTCGTTGATAATTGAATAAAACTATTATTTACGGATTTTATCGCGTTTAATTACTTTAATTTATTGTTATATATTAAGTTTTAAGACCATGGTCAAGGGGGATGGATGTTGAGTTATGTCGCATACATACACGTAAATCGGACCAAAAATTAATGTTAAAAAAACTGAAGGTAGCCGGACTAACTATGACATTGGGACGTCGAACATCCCAGTCCCCCCTGTGACCATGGGTGCTGTAAAGCACCCGAAACGTCGGGATAATAATAAAAATAAATTAAAGTAATTAAACGCGATAAAATCCGTAAATAATAGTTTTATTCAATGTGTAGTGTTCGCGTAAATTTAAGAAATCATTAGTCGTTGATAATTTATCTTTTTGAGATTGACATTTATTTGACTTTCTTGTGGCCAATAATGGAACAGGGTTTTTGCACCATGTAAAAATTATACGTATTTCGATAGGTTTTGTAATAAGTAAACAAGGAATGTTGATTTTTATTCATAAAAATGCATTATAATTTTTATAATACCAAATTTTAAAAATACTTTTTTTCAATCTATGCCTTAAATGTCCAAAAAACACTATCCGTCATATTAGTAACCGTCGTGACGTCACTTTGTTGGCAAATAAGTTATCATCACGATTGTTGACTTTTATTCATAAAAATGCATTATAATTTTTATAATCAAAATTTAAAAATACTTTTTTTCAATCTATGCCTTAAATGTCCAAAAAACACTATCCGTCATATTAGTAACCGTCGTGACGTCACTTTGTTGGCAAATAAGTTATCATCACGATTGTTGACTTTTATTCATAAAAATGCATTATAATTTTTATATTCAAATTTTAAAAATACTTTTTTTCAATCTATGCCTTAAATGTCCAAAAAACATTATCCGTCATATTAGTAACCGTCGTGACGTCACTTTGTAGGCAAATAAGTTATCATCACGATTGTTGACTTTTATTCATAAAAATGCATTATAATTTTTCTAATCAAATTTTAAAAATACTTTTTTTTCAATCTATGCCTTAAATGTCCAAAAAACACTATCCGTCATATTAGTAACCGTCGTGACGTCACTTTGTTGGCAAATAAGTTATCATCACGATTGTTGACTTTTATTCATAAAAATGCATTATAATTTTTATAATCAAATTTTAAAAATGCTTTTTTTTCAATCTATTCCTTAAATGTCCAAAAAACACTATCCGTCATATTAGTAACCGTCGTGACGTCACTTTGTTGGCAAATAAGTTATCATCACGATTGTTGACTTTTATTCATAAAAATGCATTATAATTTTTATAATCAAATTTTAAAAATACTTTTTTTCAATCTATGCCTTAAATGTCCAAAAAAAACTATCCGTCATATTAGTAACCGTCGTGACGTCACTTTGTTGGCAAACAAGTTATCATCACGATTGTTGACTTTTATTCCGTATTTTATTGAAATGGTATCATAGATGGCAAAACGGATTTGTATTAGCAGAAAGTAATAATCTACCAAAGATAAAAAAATACATTAATGGTGGCAAACATTTTATTTGCAATCCCGATTTTTTTCTGCCGAGTTGAGGAATGTTAAAATATCAATGTAAATAACTATTACTAACTAATGTATTATACAATAACAAAATACTAGGTCTGAATGTCTTTTAATGATACATATGTATGTTTATCTATGATTATAATCTAATAAATAAAAAATAGCAATAATCATAGTTATATACCTTAAATATAATAGTTATAAAAAATATTGTAAAACTTAATTTATAATTGGTAGCTTCACTATAGGTTGTGTGTATTGTATTACTTTTATTTTATGCTTAGTACTTAATGTTTAATTATAAATACCATTTGGTTATTTTTATTCAATCTTTAAACATATTGTGGTTGCAAGCTTTTAATATGTTTTAGATATCTGTGGAAACTTCATTGGTTTTAGGATTACTTATATTTGTTTTATAATGTATTTTTTATTGTACTGTATGTTTCCATGAAAAAGCAAATAAATAAATAAATAAAAATATCTAAGACTAGCTGAACCCGGCGGACTATAATTTGAGCTGAGTGAGCTCAAATTCTAATTTCGCCCCCACTTCCCCGCACGTCGTATGCTATGTACCGACATGTTTGTAATCACTATACACTATTTTGCTCTGCGAAGGCTAACTTCAATCTCGTCAAGAAACACTTCTCTTATAGCATATCATGCGTATGTCGCTGCTGTATTAAGATATGGTCTCATATTATGGGGAAACTCGACTGATGTAAACCGTGCTTTTATAGCGCAAAAACGCTGTATACGAGCAATTTGTGGTGTCGGGCCCCTAGTTTCTTGCAAACCACTGTTTAAAGAATTGGGTGTTCTTACGCTACCATCCATGTACATTTTTGAACTTTCAATATTCGTAAAAAAGTATCCTCAGTTTTTTACTAGATTAAAAGATACAGTAACATATAGTACCAGATACCCAGATAAAATTATTTTACCTTCATTAAAAACTAGCCTGTATTCAAAAAATTGCTATGTGATGGCTATTCAAGTGTTTAATAAAATCCCAAATGAAATAAGGCAATTAGATTATAATCGATTTAGACGTAATTTATTAAAGTGGCTTTTAGAAAAACAGTTTTATTCGGTAAATGAACTGCTAAAAATAAAAGAACGTTTCTATTGACTGTAAAATGCTGTTTCTTATCTGATTGTGTTTTAAACGATTAATATTAAGATTTAATTTTACTTAATTTTTTGTATATTCTAACCATAAGTTAATTAGTAAATAAGTTTTCATATACCAAAATTGGTGAAATATGTGAATCATTATTATTTTTATAAGAACATCTTTGTACCATATTTCTTGTGAATAAATTACACACAATTACACTATTATCCAGTGAGTAAACATAGATTGTCACATAGGGGACATTGTCGCATATTATAATTCGGTAAATACATATATAGGGTGTTTCTTTTCTGCCTAAGAGTTCGACTGGGTAGGTATTACGTTTTTACCCATTTCTGTCGCTAAATAAGAGTGCTTGCAATACTGTGTTGCTTTTCTGAAGAATATAGAGAGCCAGTATAATTAAAGGCTGTGAGTTGTGAGGCGTTCCATCTTATTCCTTAGAAGTCCTTAGCTCTCTTTATTTGAAGTTAACTGCAGTGCCACTTACCATGACGTGGACTGTAAGTTTATTTGGCACTACAGATTTAAAAAAAAAAACTAGTGCCCCAGCCCGAATTGAACTCCCGCCGTTGTTGATTATTTTATAAATAATAATATTAGTTGAGCATTTTTCTTTTCATTGAACTCTTTAGCGAAATTAAAAAAAAAACAGCTAACTTTCTTAAAACTTCTAGGCAATTAATTTTTTTAAGGTATCTTTTTTAATTTTGGGTACATTTTATACATTGATTCGATAAACTATTACAACAACCGGTAAAGAAAAAACATAATGAAAAAACAAACTGATAAAACCTGTACTTTAATGGTATTTGTTGATAGTTTTGTCCAAATAATCCACAGACGCCGCGCCGAGCGGTCTCTTTGAGCTGGGGCATCATGTATATTATTTGGTTTGGAGCAATTAATCGGCCGCGGTGTCTAGAGGTGTTCGCGGACTTCACATACTCTCGAAATATTTTATTCCTCGGACATGAAGGCTTATAAGGATGTTTTCCTTCACCGCCGAGCATGTAAATCAGCATTTAAAGTTAAAATTTATTTAAAATTGCGAATTTATTGGTGCCTGAGCTACCACGGCTGTTGTATAACAACAACTATAACCTTCCTTCCTTACAAAAGAATACACCTACGATTACAGCATTGGTGTATTCATGTTTAACAACCCCTCTGATAGTGAGTGGCATTTGCAGCCCATAGATGGACATCTGCAACCAACTTCAAACGTAGACACCTCCTATACTGACTGACCTTTTTTACCGTCTGGTGAAAAATAGGGTGTGACATGTTAACGGAGTAGAAGCCTATGGCTCTGATATTTTACAATAAATAAAAATAAAAATTTTGTAAACCCTATTTTTGTTAGACGGTAAAAAAGCTCATCCATTATGTAGTTAAAATTGAAACTAATATATATATATATATATATATATATATATATATATATATATATATATATATATATATATATATATATATATATATATGTTTTGTTTGTGAATAAAATTTTATAATTTTATCATATTTTATTTTTATTTATTATAAGCCTGTATTTGACTAAAATGCCACCTGATCGTAAATAGTGTTAAAGTCTAGATGTTAAATATTGGGTCCTTACATATGAAATTAGCGTTTTGTCGTACTGATCACTTTGATCTGAAATATTTCCTCTTTGGTTAAGAATTGCAAATTCAAATTTATAAATTCATTTATTTATTTTTTTGGCGTCGCTTATTACCGCACAATGGAAAACATGAAATATCGGTATATTTACGAGTACGAGTTCTACCGTGGCACCAGTGCTGCAGAAACAGCTCGAAGGATTAATGATGTGTACGGCGCTGGCGTCGCAAAAGAAAGCACGGTACGTTTATTGGTTTCAACTTTCAACGTTTTCGTTCTGGAAATTTCGACCTTCAGAACCAAACCCGTGGACGACCGCAGACCAAAGTCGAAAATGAAGAATTAAAGGCCATTGTGGAAGCGGATCTATCAAGAAGCATTTCAGAGATAGCTAGAGGCTTCGGGGTAAATGATAAAACTGTATTAATCCACTTGAAACAAGTCGGAAAAGTAAAAAAAAACTTGAACGATGGGTACCTCATGAATTGAGTGAATCGAACTTGCAAACACGCGTCGACTGCTGTGTTACTTTGCTCAACCGACAGAAAAATAAAAGGGACAAAATAAAAATTTTGTCAGCAACTGCAAAACATGAAGGAAGAACTAGCTGCTAAACAACCGAGATTGGTCAATCGCTCTTGGTCACTGCTGCTTCACGATGACGCAAGAT